ATTTCTTAGAGTGGAATTATCATACTGCATGGTGTATCTAAGTTTACCACTTTAAGAAACTGCCAAACTGTTTTCCAAAGTGGTTGTACCATTTTACATTTCTATATCCAATGCTGCAGTTCCTTCACATCTCTATAATACCTATTATCCTTTTTACTATAGCCACGTAGTGGGTATGAAGTGGTATCTCACTATGGTTTTGACTTGTGTTTCCTAATGACAGATGGCATTCAACATCTTTTACATGTGCTAGTTTTCCATTTGTATATCTTCTTTGAAACAATAATTACTCTAGCTATTTGCCCACTTTTTAAATTGAGCCACTAAATCATTGAAAAATCATTTATCATTGAGTTGTCAGTTTTCTTTATATATTCTGGATCCATGTCTTTTATGAGATATATGATGTGCAAATATTTTATCCAAGTGTGTGGCTGATCTTCTCATTTTCTTGGTAATTTTCGAAGCACAGAAGTTTATTATTTTGATAAAGTCAATTAAATTTTTTTTGTTTATAAGCCATGCTTTTCTAAGTATTATAAAATACTATAAGATATTGTATCAAAGAAATCTTTTCCTAAACCCCAGGGTTAAAAGTTTTTTTCTCCTGTGTTTTCTTCTAAAAGTTTTATAGTCTTAGCAATAACATTTAGATCTATGATCCATTTTGAGTTAGTTTTTATGTCTTACATGAACGGTCTAAATTAATCTTTTTATGCATGTGGGTAACTAATTTTAAATGAAAAAGAAAAGCAACACTGGATGTTAATGAGGTTATGAAACAAATGAAACTTGTATAAATTATTGAGAGAATACAGAATGTAAGATCAATTTGAGAAAATAGATGGCTGTTTATTATAAATTATAACATTCATTGACCTTATGACTAAGGAATTCTATTTTTACCCAAAACAAATGAGAATATATGTCCATAAATTAAGTTATACATGAATAGCCATGTCAGTGTTATTCATAAAAGCCGCAAATGGAAAATGGTTGTGGTGCCAATAAACTGTGGTGTATTCATATACTATAACACACTACTCAACACTAAAAAAGGTAAAACAATGTCGTTACATTCAACAAGATGGTGAATTTCAAAAACGTTATCCTGAAGGTAACAGATCATATAGAAAAGAGTGCCTATTTTAAGATTCCATTAATAGGAATTTCTAGAAAAAGTTAACATATTATTTTCTTTAAAAAGCACTAGAATGAAGTAAGAAAATATCAGAACAATAGGTGTCTCAGGGTTAGAGGGGGATGAGTATTTCTATAGAAGGAGGGTGAAAAGCTTTCTGGAATGATGGACTGTTATATATTGATAAGGGTTTAAAATACCCAGATAAATATCCAAACTCAGTGGATTACACACTTAAGAATTTTGCATTTCACTATGTGTACCTTTAATTTCAAAACAAGAAAACTATTGAAAAATTAATCTTTTGTTGGAGATATATATGTTGAACTTGCAGTTGCACTAAAAAGAAGATGATTGATAGTTGAATGGATAGATATGTATCTATGGATGGATAGATCTGTAGTACAGTAAGTATCGCAAAAAGTTAACGGTAGAATTTAGGTGGTAGGTATATGGGTGTCCACTGTAAAATCCTTTTAACTTTACTGTACATTTGAAACTTTATATAAAAATATATTTGAAAATTTAAAAAATGTGTTTTATTGTTTCCACAGCCCAAAATTATTTATTTTACTGTCACAGAAAGAAGGAAGAAATTTTGGATTCACTTCAAGGCATATTCTAGAGAAGGCCTGGCCTTCTCTTTAGGTATTTATCTAATTCAAGTTAAGAAGATATGAAACTTTAGCCTACATCTTATCTAAATTTATTCATCCCTTTAGGGTAGCCAAAGTTGCTCCTTTTTAAATCATGACAATATCCAGGGGACTTCAAGGAGTATCTTAGTTAATTTATTCATTTTGCTTACAGAAGCCAGTCAAAAATGTTTTTTGAGGAGCTTAACTTAATGTATTTATTAAAACACTTATTGGTTGTTGAGTTATGTGGAATGCACAAAAGGATCCCATGATCTAAAGGAAATAAAGTTATTGTCTCTACTTACTTTGTGTCTGATGGTTCACATGATCTGACTCTTTCCAAAGCAGTATAACCTTCATTTTGTGTTCACAAAATGTTTATTGAGAGCCTGCTATAAATCAAGTTCAAGAGTCACAAAATCAAATAGATCATATCTCATATGATTTTACTCTGTGACCCCACTTAAATCTCATCTTGAAATGTAATCCCAATGTGTTAGGGGAGGGGTCTGGTGGCAGGTGATTGAATCATGGGGTAAATGTCCACCCTTGATGTTCTCGTGATAGTGAGTTTTCAAGATACCTGGTTGTTTGAAAAGGTGTGGCACTTCCCCTTTCATCCTCTGTCTCTCTCATGCCACCATGGTAAGACATCCCTTGCTTCCCCTTCCTTTTTCCCCATGATTCTAAGTTTCTTAAGGCTTCGTCAGCTATGAGGAACTGTGAGTCAATTAAACCTCTTTTCCTTATAAATTATCCAATCTCAGGTAGTTCTTTACAGCAGTGTGAAGCCAGACTAATACAATAGCCATAATGAGTTTAAAGTCTACAGAAGAAATTATCTTATGCTTTCCCATTTAATTTTTTGTTAAAATAATGAGTTTTTAAATGATAGACACTCTCCACAAAACTGCCATGCCATGTTACTATTTTCATTTTTCCATAGTACAATTTGTTTATGCCACTATTTATACTACATTTTTATATAATTTTGATTTTTACATTTGACTTTATAATAATCACATTTTCTCATGTATATTACCCTGGAATGACCTCTTATAATAGAGTGTAAAAGAAACTAGGAAAGAGTATAATAAAGATAGGCACAAATAAGTTTCTTTCCAAGAAAAATGAAGCAATGAAGTTAGTGTAGATTTTATTTTCCAGGAACTAGTAGCTTCCTCTCCCTTCTGTGTGGAGGAGCTAGGAGTGCTTGTCTTTCTTACACTCATTTTTCTCATTTTCTTAAAAGGTCCTAGATAGACTGGGCATGGTGGCTCATGCCTGTAATCCCAGTATTTTGGAAGGCTGAGGCAGGTGGATAAAAAGCCTGGAGTTCGAGACCAGCCTGGCCAATATAGTGTAACACCATCTCTACTAAAAATACAAAAAATAGCAAGGCACGGTGGTGGGTACCTGTACTCCCAGCTACTTGGGAGGCTGAGGCAGGAGAATTGCTTGACTGTAGGAAGCAGAAGTTGCAGTGAGCCAAGATCATGCCACTGCACTCTAGCCTGGGTGATAGAGTGGGGCTCCATCTCAAAAAAAAAAAAGGCTACAGATATGAAAAAGACTTTGCCTTTATCAATAAAATTGTAAGCTCTGTGACTACTCAGAAAATGTAAGGCTTGTTTTAAACATATTGATATATTTAAAAAACAGTAGTTTTTAGCTACGAAAACTAAAATGAATTAAAAACTATAGTCTTCCATGGTAACTAGAAGAACTATATGTCCTATTTAGTAAAATATCGTTAGGACTTGTCTTTTGTTGATTCTCAGGAAAAGGACAGAAGAAGGTGAAGATCAGAATTTGTGAGTCAAGAAAGCACACACACAGACAAAAGCTTGGGAATTGAGAATTTGCCTGGGAGAAATCTAAACACTTATAATAAATTCTTAATTACTTAGCTTTTGTCTGTATTTGCTTTTCCTCTAAAACAAATGTTATTTACTCCAGAGATGGGCAGCTAGATTTGTGGAATATGTGTGAAGTGTTGCTTGAGTTGGAACTATTTTAGATCAAATAATATTATCACAGTATCTAGTGAACCAGTAGTCTTCTGAAATGGGGCAGGTGCTATGAATGGTTTTACCTTCATAATTTTCAAAAAAATCATAGAGTCATACCTGAAAGTGAGTCATCCTATTAATTTATAGATACGGTATTAAACATTATTAATTTATACGACAGAACTTTACCTGAAAGCATTTGGTTGAACATAATTGGTAGGCTGGCAGCAAAACTCAATGAAGAACTGTGCATATTGGCAGGAAGGATTTGAAGCAGAGAAAGAGTAGAGGTAATGGTATGTTACAGAAATAGACATAGCAGGAATTAGAAACAGGTATTAGTCTATATGGGTTAATTTTGAGTATGTCTTGGAATACTTCAGTTGATTTGGAGCCTGTTAATTATACCAGGTAAGGGCTCTTGAGTTTGGGTCCATTGAAGCATTGAGGCAGATAAAGGCAGAAGGTCAGAGGAAGGAGAACAAGCAGTTGCCATTTCATTTATTATTTATTTTATTTTATTTTCTTGAGATGGAGGCTCTCTGTATTGCTAGGCTGGAGTGCGGTTGCACGATCCTGCCTCACTGCAACTTCCGTTTTCCGTTTTCAAGCAATTCTCCTGCCTCAGCCTCCCCAGTAGCTGGGGACTGCAGGCACACACTACCACGCCTGGCTAATTTTTTTTTTTTTTGTATTTTTAGTAGAGACAGGGTTTCACCATGTTGGCCAGAATGGTCTCTATCTCTTGACCTCGTGATCCGCCTGCCTCAGCCTCCCAAAGTCCTGGGATTACAGGCGTGAGCCACTGCGGTCGGCCCTTGTTTATTTATATGACATCTTTTTACTGGGAGCTTATTGCAGTTAACGCTGTACATTGAAATGTTGAGAAATATATGCCTAGCCTTCGTATAGTCTCAGCAAGAAAGAGAAGGTACGCTCAAAATGAAAATTTGAGTAGAGCTTCTTTGAGAAGAATTATTTACATAGGTTTGGGCAGGATTTCAGGAAACCAGTAAGGGACGGTGCTGGGTTTTTTTTTTTTTTTTTTTTTTGGGACGGAGTTTCGCTCTTGTTACCCAGGCTGGAGTGAAATGGCGCAATCTCGGCTCACTGCAACCTCCGCCTCCTGGGTTCAGGCAATTCTCTTGCCTCAGCCTCCTGAGTAGCTGGGATTACAGGCACGCACTACGGTGCCCAGCTAATTTTTTTTTTTTGTATTTTTAGTAGAGACGGGGTTTCACCATGTTGACCAGGATGGTCTCAATCTCTTGACCTCGTGATCCACCCGCCTCGGCCTCCCAAAGTGCTGAAATTACAGGCGTGAGCCACCGTGCCCGGACAGTGCTGGGTTCTAAGGCGTTTACAGTGGAAAACGGTTACGAGGGAAAGTAACTTCCGTGAGAAAGTGACAGAAACGGAGGCATTAGATACCAGTGTGCCATCCAACAAGGATAACCCACTACAACTAGGACAATGATCTCCATCTCACTATCTCCTTGTCCTCTAGTCTGGGAACGCCTCACATTGATCACACCCTAATGGAAGCCAGAGGGCAACGAAGCCTGTTGATGGAGCGCTGTGAGTCAGCAGCCTCCGGGCAGAGAGAAGGTGGACGGTGGATAAAGGTAAGTGGCAAATGCAACATAACCAGCAGAGCTTCTCTCCTCACGAAGCTTTCATTTTAGGGCAGTGGTTTTATTTAGGGCAGTGAGGGAGATATTGCTCCCTCAGGGAACATTTGGCAATGTTTAGTGATATTTTTTTAAACTGTCACAACTCGAGGGAGGGGCCCTACTGGCATTTTGTGTATAGAGGCCAGAGACTATATGGCCCACAAAGCTGAAAATATTTACTATCTGGCTCTTTACAGAATATGTTTTCAGATCCTTACTCTAGGGGGATTAAGTACTGCTTGCCCCATGGACATGAGCTATCATGGGTTCCTTCAACAGTTTTCTGAAGATATTGTAGAAACTCTCTTCAGATATTTTGAGTCCTCATCCCACTTTCTAAAAGTGCACTTATCCTATATTCTAAACTAGCTCCCAGAACCTCAACTCTCTTTTCAGTCTGTCTTAATAAGAGATTCTTAATGGAAGTCTCTTACTCTACTAACCTCTCCGGTTCTTAGTTAACAAAATACTCATGACTCTGCCACAGCTATTTGGAATTGTGATGCTGTAATCTTAGGCTTTGTCAGTACAGGATTGGTCCTAGATCCACCTTCTTCCCACTTAGCTGAAATTATATGCTACCTGGTGGGATTCCTCAGAGGCTCACCGCTTTTGCCCTGAAACAAGTCCTCACACTGAAAGGCTGAAGTACAATACAATATCTAGAGTTATAGAGGACTTGCGGAGTTCCACGTATTGTTATAAAAAATATTAAACAGATTATCTCATTTAGTCCTCACTCTGATAATCCACATTTTATAAGTTAGGATTTTGAGGATTAACAGAGGCAGCACCTTCTGTAGAGCCATTTCCTTAACTTCCTCCTCACTATGAGCTGATACTTAGCATTCTAGATACAGTCCCAAAACCACAATCTCCACTTGATTTAAAGATAAAGAACAGAATTGAATGGGAGAAGCAATAAGATCTCAGTAACACTAGGATTCTGGTCCTTGGAGGGCTTAATTCTCATGTCTACAAGTATAGATATCCAGAAAATTCATCTGGACTGCAGGTTAAGGGTGGAGCACCAAGAAGGCCCTAAAAACTGAGGCAAATTTTCTCTCAGAAAGATTTTTACACGCTTTTGGAAAAATCAGACAAAACAAAACACCACAACAGTGTAGCTAGCTTAGAGCTCAGAGGTTGAAGAATACAGGCATACCTTGGAGATTGATTCTAAACTACCACAGTAAAGCATATTATATAAATATTTGATTTCTCAGTGCATATAAAAATTGTTTACACTATGCTTTAGTTTATTAAATGTGCAATAGCATTATGTTTAAAAATGCAATGTACATATACTGTAATTAAAAACGACTTCATTGCAAAAAAAATGCTGACAAGCATTTGAGCCTTCAGTGAATTGTAATATTTTTGCTCATGGAGGATTTTGCCTTGATGTTGATGGGTGGTGATTGATCAGATTGGTGGTTATTGAAGGCTGGGGTGGCTGTGGAAATGTCTTAAGAGAACAATAAAGTTTACCATCTAGATTCACTCTTTCTTTTATGAAAGGTTTCTCTGTAGTATGCAATGCTGTTTGATGGCATTTTGCCCACAGTAGAACTTCTTTCAAAATTGGAGTCAATCCTCTCAAACCCTGACACTGCTTTATTAACTAAGCTTATGTAATGTTCTAATTCTTTTGTCATTATTTAAGCAGTGTTCACAACATCTTCACCGGGGGAAGATTCCACCAGAAGAAATCACTTTCTTTGCTCATTCATAAGAAGCAATTCTTATCCACTCAAGTTTTATCATGAAATTGCAGCACATCTTTAGGCTCAACTTCCAATTCCATTTCTCTTGATATTTGTACCTCATCTGCAGTTACTTCCTCCACTGAAGTCTTGAAACCCTCAAAGTCATCTATGATTGCTGGAATCTTCTTCCAAACTTCTGTTCATTTTGGTATTTTGACCTCTTACCATAATTCACAAATGTTCTTAATGACATCTAGAATGGTGAGTCTTTTGTAGGAGGTTTTCAACTTATTTTGCCTACGTACATCAGAGGAATCATTACCTGTGGCAGTTATAGCTTTAAGAAATGTATTTCTTAAATAATGATACTTGAAAGTTGCAATTACTTCTTTTTCCATGGGCTGTAGAATGGACATGGTGCCAGTAGGCATGAAACAACATTAATCTCCCTGTATATCTCCATTAGAGCTCCTGAATGACTAGATTCACTGTCAATAGTTTAGCATTTTAAAAGAAATATTTTTTTTTTGAGGAGTAGGTCTCCCCAGTGGGCCTAAAATATTCAGGAAACTATACTGTAAATAGATATGCTATCATCTTGGCCTTATTCCATTTATAAGGGCACATAGTAGATTTAGCATCATTCTTAAGGGCTCAAGGAGTTTTGGAATGATAAATGAGTATTGGCTTCAGCTTGAAGTCAACAACTGCATTAGTCCCTAACAGGAGAATCACTGTCTTTTAAAGTTTTGAAGCCAGGCACTGACTTCTCCTCTTTGGCTATGAAAGTCCTAGATAGCATCTTCTTCCAATAGAAAGCTATTTTATCTAAACTGAAAATCTGTTATTTAGTGTAGTCACCTTCATCAATTATCTTAGTTAGATCTTCTGAAGAACTTGCTGCAGTTTCTATACCAGCACTTGTTGGTTCACTTGCACTTTGATGTTATGAAGATGCATTATTTCCTTAAAGCCATGAACCAAGCAGTGCTAGATTCAAACTCTTCTCCTGAAGCTTCTTCACTTCTCTGTCTTCACAGCATCGAAGACAGTTAGGGCCTTGTTGTAGACTAAGCTTTGGGTTAGGGGAATGTTGTAGCTGGTTTGATCTATACAGACTACTAAAACTTGCTCCGTATCAGCAATAAGGCTGCTTCACTTTCTTTTCATTGGTATGTTCACTAGAGTAGCACTTTTAATTTTTTTCAAGAACATTTCCTTTGCATTCACTACTTGCCTAACTGCTTGGTGTAAAAGGCTTAGCTTTTGGCTTATTTCAGTTTTTGACATGTCTTCCTCCCTAAGCTTAATCCTTTCTAGCTATTGATTTAAATGTTATTTTAAATAGATGTCTGTTTTAAAATGAAAAAATACATGAAAATATTTTTAGAGAGCTCTGTTCTAGGTTCTGAAACTTCTGCATGTCATATATTTGGTACACAACATCAGCCCCAAGAAAGAAAAGCACATAAATGAAATAAGCCAGATAAAAAAAGGTTCAGACTAGACTAATTCCTATAGGATTTTCTACACCTTTCTTGTCAAGCTGAAGCTTCCAGATCCTAGGACAGTAACACACATTTCTCTTGTCCTGACAATAAACAGCATGTCTCTTCTCTTGGTCATAAGAAGTTCTAGAGTGATATTTACATGATAATAATGTCTGGTGAAGAGTGGGCACAGCAGGCATGTTCACATGACCAAATTGTATTGATCAGATTTTAATCCAATACCTTGCTCTACTATTAAATAGCAAATACATGATGTATTTGCTTTCTAGACATATTCCAGGAAGGCTAGAGAAGCTGGATTCTTATTCATAGGAATCTACTGAATTCATATTGAATTCATACTCAATAATCCACTGGTAAATTTCTTTTTTTTTTTTTTTTTTTTTTTTTTTTTTTTTTTTATTTATTCATTTTTATTATTTATGTCCTTCAAGAAGTGTTACAGGTTGTTGTTTTATTTATTTATTTTTTTTTTTTAATTTTTTATTGGATTATAGGTTTTGGGGTACATGAGCAGAGCATGCAAGACAGTTGCGTAGGTACACACATGGCAGTGTGCTTTGCTTTTCTTCTCCCCTTCACCCACATTTGTCATTTCTCCCCAGGCTATCCCTCCCCACCTCCCCCTCCCACTGGCCCTCCCCTTTTCCCCCCAATAGACCCCAGTGTTTAGTACTCCCCTTTCTGTGTCCATGTGTTCTCATTTTTCATCACCCACCTATGAGTGAGAATATGCGGTGTTTCATTTTCTGTTCTTGTGTCAGTTTGCTGAGGATGATGTTCTCCAGATTCATCCATGTCCCTACAAACGACACGAACTCATCATTTCTGATTGCTGCATAATATTCCATGGTGTATATGTGCCACATTTTTCCAATCCAGTCTATTATCAATGGGCATTTGGGCTGATTCCAGGTCTTTGCTATTGTAAACAGTGCTGCAATGAACATTCGTGTACATGTGTCCTTATAGTAGAACGATTTATAGTCTTTTGGATATATACCCAGTAATGGGATTGCTGGGTCAAATGGAATTTCTATTTCTAAGGCCTTGAGGAATCGCCACACTGTCTTCCACAATGGTTGAACTAATTTACACTCCCACCAACAGTGTAAAGTGTTCCTTTTTCTCCACATCCTCTCCAGCATCTGTTGTCTCCAGATTTTTTAATGATCGCCATTCTAACTGGCGTGAGATGGTATCTCAATGTGGTTTTGATTTGCATCTCTCTGATGACCAGTGACGATGAGCATTTTTTCATATGATTGTTGGCCTCATATATGTCTTCTTTCGTAAAGTATCTGTTCATATCCTTTGCCCACTTTTGAATGGGCTTGTTTGTTTTTTTCCTGTAAATCTGCTTGAGTTGTTTGTAAATTCTGGATATCAGCCCTTTGTCAGATGGGTAGACTGCGAAAATTTTTTCCCATTCTGTTGGTTGCCGATCCACTCTAGTGACTGTTTCTTTTGCCGTGCAGAAGCTGTGGAGTTTCATTAGGTCCCATTTGTCTATTTTGGCTTTTGTTGCCAATGCTCTTGGTGTTTTGTTCATGAAGTCCTTGCCTACTCCTATGTCCTGGATAGTTTTGCCTAGATTTCCTTCTAGGGTTTTTATGGTGCCAGGTCTTATGTTTAAGTCTTTAATCCATCTGGAGTTAATTTTAGTGTAAGGTGTCAGGGAGGGGTCCAGTTTCTGCTTTCTGCACATGGCTAGCCAGTTTTCCCAACACCA